TATTTTTATTATTAATATTAAGCATAATAATTTATATTTTATTTTAGTAAAGTTATTACCGACATCCAAGCTGTTCAGGTTGTTCAAGTGTATCAGGAGTTTCATTTAATGATAAACTATAAGACAACCAATGTCTAAAATTGCAAACAACTTATTAATTTATCTACATTGTATTATGAAATAATTAAATTCTTACGGTAATGTTTGTATAAAAGAAGATTTCAATTGATTAGTAACTGCTTTAGTTATATTTCCAAAAGTAGGTTGAGCATGTCCTCCAATTGTGTAATGAATGGCCAAATATGGTTCAACACCAGCAGCTATAATTTGAGTCATTTGTGGTATACAATTTTGTTTATCACCACTAATACCTTTGCAAATATTTGTTGCTACTATGTGTTGAAAACTAGTGATGTCATATCTGGGACCAATAGCAGCGTCATTTATCTTTTTCTGAACATCAAAAGCCCACTTTTTATATGTTAATGGAGGGATACTTATATCACCCATACATTTTGCTTGAACTAAAATATAAATAATACCCAATGCATTTGTACAAGTATTTGATAATAATAATATAGTTCTATAATTGCTTAAATTATTTCTATTAACCAAAGTTGTATATACATATTTTACTCATAAATTTCACAATATCCAATTTTTTAATTCAATTTAATTTCTATTAAAAWAAAAWAATAATAAAATAATTTACTATTATTACCATTTGTTTTTATGCTTACTTTTAGCCAATTGATTTTTACAAGACCTTAAAATATTAATGAAAATTGAGCCAACAACTGTACACATAACTTTACTATATAATATAGCAATTTCTTCAGGTTGTTCTACAGCTGGGGGATTAGTTTTAGCAGGCTGATGACTTTGACACCGTAATTTCAAAACAGCACTATTATGGAATAATTGTGATAGTAGCAGATCTCCATCCTTATAAATAAAATAAGTAGTTTATTATTTGTAACAAATCAATGAAAAATATAAAATCCAGAATAACTTCAGTGTAAAATTTGACAAATCCACTAGAAAATCCAATAGCAATACAAAACCATTCAGGACTACAATGAGTAGATAGCTTTGTATCGATTGCTGCAATCGGAAGACATACAACTGATGTAATTTTTTCACTGGAATAACACAAAATATACTATATTATTATTGTATTAAAATATATAAATGAATAATAACTATCAACTATCAATATTCTTAAAAAATAATTGTATACAAAAGATATTAATGGTTTTACAAATATAAATATTTTAACATAGGTACTTGTTTTCTTGGTCAATGGGATTACTTAAAAATGTTTGAAAACTCTGGCATATAATATCATCATCAGTAGAATTGGAAAACCACTTGACTATAAAATTAAAAATAGTAAATTTTATGTAATTCAACCGAAACATACAAATATACTTACTTGTAAAGGTAATTATTTTGTTGCCATGTCCAAATACTATGATTTCACCTCCAGGTGATACACAATTCACAGTGTCATTGAAAACATCTACTAAAAAAAAAAAAA